AGATAAAGATATTAATTAATTAAATGAAATAATAGAAAATATAAATAATTTTAATCCATGTCAGTTATTGATGTTGAGAATATATAAGTGTATAAAAAGACGCTGAAATACACCCCTTAGCTTTCAATTTACCTACTGCTGATTGCAGCACTCTCTTCCTAATTAGATAATTATCAGAAAAAAATAAAAGGATTTCGAAAGACAGATACCCCCTACTGTTTAAAAAACTCTATATATCTTCAAAAATAAACTCCTCCTTTAGTCATTTTCCCTTTAACTGTTGTACTGAGAATTTTATTTCAAAAAAGGATCCCTAAAAGTAAGTTATTTTTACAACTACTTAGCATATACATAAGCACTTAATGAACATTTTTTTTCTAATTTATTGTTTTTGGATTAATCAAAAAAGTAAATTCTGGATTGCTATTGATAAAATTGCTTTCTAAACATATAACTGCATTTAAATGTTATAATATTAACCTTGTTGAGGAAATATTAAATGATCTGAAGGCCTAAACGATTTATTTTGAAGAAAGTGCATATGGACGACTTACCACGTTAATATATAATACAAGTGTATTTCTGTATGAAGTCTTAAACCTCGTAATGGAATTAAATTAGTCGAATTAAAAAACCAAGGCTAATATATCATGGAATAATGGTACTTTTCGTGATTCTGAATTAACGAGATGAAAAACTTTATCAAAATATTAACGCATTCCATGAGATATAATGTTTTCGTAATATAAAATAAATATATTTACAATAAACAATGATTTTCATTCGTTTGTTTAATAATGAATCGTTCTTAATCAAATTTGCAATGAAAAAAAGGAACAAGACGTTAGACGTTATTCTTTTCATCTATTATACTTAAATACCTACAGGTTTGTATGTAAGTAATAAGAGAAAGAAGGACATTATACTTTTACTTCCGGATATAACACCTTCAGAAAACGGAAATTCATTAATGTAATCTCATTCTTTATCGAGTTGTGATAACTATTTATTACAAAACGATTTAGGTAATTGGAATAATATTACTGATGTACTAAATTAATTTTAATTTTTCGGAAGATGGATACAGAAACGATAAGAAAGAATATAATAGATATACATACTTATATGTATATTGTTAACTGTAAAAACATTCAAAATGAAAAATGACAGTGTATAATAATGTTTAGAGAAAGATTTCTTGATGTCCTTACGTTTTACAAAACAAAGTTAATCAAAATTGATAGTAGATCCATTTCAAGGTGTAACAGCATAAAACGAATGTATTTTATTGTGTTGGATTTGCGGAAGTATTTTTTGTTTATAGATTAAAGAATATTGGGAGATGATTGCGTTATTACCTGCACAATTTATCATTTCTGTTATATGATACATGAACTTGATAATGTCAAGAAGAAAAAATACATATACCGTCTAGACCTCTAGACCTTTCTTCTTTTCTTTAAATTCGTTTTATATCTACGAAAAAATTATTCACAACAAGGATAAAACGTATCTACGCATTTTATTTGCCTTATTAACTCATGTCATTATTAATTTACATAAAATATTATTCCGAAAAGAGCGACTTTCCGTAGAGATTTCAACTACGGAATAAGCCACTAACCCTGAAGTGATATTATTTTTCTTTTGCACTCGATTTTAAAAATCATTTTGTTTCTCAACATTACCTACCTATGACCATCGAATGAACCTTATGCATTTTTATTAAGTACTTCTTATTATTCCATCAAATATAATAATTATAAAACTAGTACATACTACATATGCGTATATTATTATGTAATATTGATCCTTGTCAGTTACAAAATAGGAAACCTTAATAACTCTGAAATATTTAAACGAACCAATTTGCCTTCGTATGAATTAATAAAATTTCGTATTATTAAATTGATTTTTAATATTGTCAACATCATCTCATAATATTTTTATTGTACTTACTTATTTACTTTGGTTGCCTTAACATACCTGCCTTTCTAAGTGTTGTGAAATGAAAAGAAAAATAAGTATATTAACCTTGTTTATCAGTAAGAATAATAAATAATTTCAAATGGCCAAAATCATCATCATTTACTCATCGGAATTGTAATTTATTTCTTTTCTTATTATCTACCAAGAATTTGAGGATCTTCGACAAGAAATTTGTACAGTGCAATGAAGTAATTATTGCCTTGAAATATGACAATGAACGTAAGTATAGAAAAATAAAAGTTAATTCGGTTCAACAATCTCTCTTTGCAATATGTTAAGTAAAAAGTTTCAGAAAGTCACCCTCTTTCTAAACACCTTTTTCAGTTTAATCTCTTTATAATCCCAAAGGAGATGTTAAATAATTAAACCGTTCCCTAATAAATCGTGAGGGAAGTCCAGAAATCTTAATTTGAAAAAAGCCAATTGAAAGAATCCTTCAATCTATAAATAGATCGATCATTAGCGTTTATCCAAATTTAGAAGTTGTCCCTTCCTAATAACAATAATAATTTACGGTGATTTACCGGTTTCAACCGTCGGGACCGCGGAAAATATCGACTATTGCCGGTCGGACAACATCCGGCCGGATCTGTCCTTGCTTTTATACATAGCTCATAGCCATTGCTGTGTAGCAGACGAATAAAACAATTATTACAATTAATATCCTTCGCGTCTTTACCGTAAAAGAGGGGTCACACATTATGACCGGGTATTGCAATCAAAATCGAAGTGGTAGGCTGTTGTTTAACACTTAAAAAGAAATGACGACCGATGCGATTCTATTAAAGCGCGACACGTGCTCGCGATCGTTTAAATTTTGTCGGGTGGGAAGTCCGGAAGAACCGCTCAATCCTTTCCACATTATTAGTTTATGTTTTCTTTTGTTTTTTGGTTGAAAGATTGTTTCAACTTCTTTATAATAGAATTTACTTACTGTACCAACATAATTGCCCGCTGTTTTACTATTCATAGTATAGGTAAGATAAAACGCTGTTGAGATTAAGAAAAAAAGCCCAAAAAAAATTAATTCCAAATCGGAAATTTTGGCGGCAACAATAATTCATAATAAATTAACTTTCGCATTGAAGTTTCTCGATTATTGTAGATTTTGAAATAAATAAATCCGTTTTTTTCTTTCTTTAGATAAAAAAAATGAACATCTTGCGCTGTGGATTTCTTCTCTTGTTTATTGTTATGGTGGCCGATAGCTCTAGTTTAGTTGGTAAGCCGTAATTTTCTTAACAAAAACTAATTATTTAATTTTAAATTAATTTGTTTATTTCAGGCGTTTGCATTAGAAACTGCGCTCAGTGTAAAAAAATGTTCGGTCGCTATTTCGAAGGGCAACTCTGCGCTGATGCCTGTGTAAAATTCAAAGCCAAAATAATCCCAGATTGTGAAGATATTACTTCTATAGCTCCATTTTTAAGCAAATTTGACGATTAATTTAAGTGTATTTAATAAAATTGCGCTCCTGCTACCACTTGCTATTGCTACTGAATGGGAGATGTCTTAAGAGGGTTGAAAAGTCACACTTATTTATTAAAACCCTTCTACATAATATTACTTTTGTCAACATTTTTAATTATTTTATACAATGTTGTATAAAAATTATTGTACTTATTATTGTCTGTGATTTATAAGTATAGGTGTAAAATAAAACTTAAAAAAGCGATTGTTTTTTCATTATTGTTTTACTTTTAATATTCTTTCCTAATTTCTAACGCACGTGTTGCGCCACTGACAAAAGATTTTTATTTGCTTTTGTTTTTTAATTTAATCTCTCGCAGAATTAAAAAAAACTTCGTTATTATATATGAGTAAATATTATCTCATCTTGGTCAGTATTTATCTCGAATATAGTAAGAAATATCTAGAGACAACACTATTTGAAAGTGAACTTGTTTTATAACTAGACGTAAGTAAAATAATTTAGTGATTGTTTTTTAAATTACACAGAACAAGCCTTTTAAATCGATCTGAAAGTCCACTTGTTGCATTTTAGTTTTCAACCTACTTATTTTTATGTACCTGAGGCAATTTATTGTAAATTGTTATCATACATTCTTGGCTGTTGGTCAACATAATATTCGAAAAATTTTATTTATTAGGTGTTAACACCATTCAGACTTTAATTTTTACTTCATTTTATTGTATGATATTTATATCTATTTTTGTATTACATTTTTATATTTAGACACAAAAAGTTTTCAAAAGCTAAGTCAAAATAATTCAGAAATATAAATACTAACTAATTGTACTAATTATTCTTCAGCATCGGATGGTTCATTTTCCACGTCATGTTTTTCTTCTTCTTCCTCTTCAACTTTAACTTTTTGCATTTTTCTACTTAAAGAACGAAACTCTCTTCCAATAAATTCTTCTTCCTCTTTAACATCGTCATTTTCTTTTCGACCTAGTATAGGCCGAGGGAAAGGTAACTTATTGGTACCCAATATGGGTCTGGGTCCGTTGGGATAACTACCAATGTACCTTCTTACCGATTTCTTTGAGTAACGAGAACACTGGGGTTCTTTATTGGCAAAATGTTGTAATATCGTTTCGACCGGGTTCTTTTCGACAGTTGCTGTTACAAGCTTTGGAACAAATACGGGGGCCTCGGGTCTAAGCTTAGCTTCAGACTTACCACCTTCCGCCTTCATAAGCACGTGAAGCACTCTTTTGACTTTTCGAAAAAATTGTTTATTTATTTGACATTATTTAATTTCCATGGTTTAAACAGCATACTTGACTAGTAAAAGTTATTTAAAAAACACTCTGTTGACACTAAATAAATGAATAATTTGATTTAATGACTTATTTTTCAAGTAAACGTGAATCATAATTACGCTTAATGTGGCGCCACTTTTTAAATTTAAAATTATTGGCGCTGGCGGCCATCATTTTTTCGATGACGCAACAATGGGCTTTCAGTGTAAATAATAATGACGTATGCATGGATAACTATTGTGTATTTTTTTTTTGGAAATTATAAAATATTGTGATTTTATGTAAAATGTTAGTGAAGTTAGACTACCAGTGATTAGTGAATTACAAAAACTAACATTTAATACAAAGGATTACAGTATCTTTGAAGTAATTGTACAGGAGACAAGATATAGCACTTGGGATTAGCTTATGCACCAAAGAGTAAGTCATTTTTTATTTAAACCTCTCATATTAGCATTTAGGGGGTACTTCGACTCTGTATTAATGTATGAAGAAGTATTGAGAATGATCAAAACTTTTTTAAGGTTATTTTTTACTTTACTTAATTATCAGTTTCATCATTACCTACCTACTGTTAAATAAGTGAAAATAAAATAACAAAAATGCTTAATTATTGTATATTTATTGGTGTGTTCTAATGCAGTAGTGGTACACATACGTACATGTCCTTATATCAAATTAAATCAATACTTTACAAATTGCAAATCAATTCAATGTAAAAGAAAAATAACTGTGTAAAAGTTCTTATTAATACAACTGCCACACAACTATCAAAATGCAAAATTTCATCGATATTTGTCATCCCTTGGTCTGTATTTAGACTGAACCCGCTCTCTTTCTCTGTCTCTTCCAGAAGGACTACGATCCCTTCGAGGACTCTTATCTCTGCTTCGACTCCTCGACCTTTGCCTTCTCTCTTTATGCTTACTTCTTTCATAATCTCCGTCCCTACTTTTTCGAACCCGATCTCGTTCTTTATATTTATCCCTGTTATCCCTCTCTCTATATTCCCGAGACGACTCCCTTTCTCGGCTTCGTTTGTAATCACGTTCCCTGTCATTTCTGGAATAGGTATTATCTCGAGCACGATCGTCCCTTAGAAAGTCTTTGGTGTGGTCTTCTTTCAAGTCCCTGTTGCGTTCATATGCCCTAACATTTCTTTCCCTGTCCCAGGTCTTATCTTTAGGCACTGATTGAATAGGCCTAGATGGAAATCTTTCCTGAAACAGCCAATTTTAATATTTCTATTGCAAAATTAACAAATATTATTTTATACCTCTAAATGTTTTTGAATTTTTTGCTGGATTGAAACCGGGATTCTTGGAAAGAGTGTTGAAAACCATTCTAATTTTATTAACCATTGCCGTAACATCTGCCCAATCTGCATGGTTTGACCCCCACCTGCTTTCACATCTAATTCCTAAAAACTCAATTATACCATAAATATCATATAACTACTTAGGAATAAATAAAAAAATAAAGCAGCATTTAATTGTAAAATTGCTGCTTTACTTTTAATTTAATAAAACCTTTGGGAATCTGGAAATTAGTATTCTCTACCTTCATTTACGCACCTCTTCGTCCTCAAGGTAGGCATCATACCAATCAAGCAGATTAGCTGGGGGCTGCGTGTATCTTATATACATGAACCCTAAAGCTCTTATATAAGGTGAATCACAATGAGTAATGAGACCATTTAGTTGTTTCCTTGTTAGTTTTAATGTAAAAAGTTTGTAGAGCAGGCAATATGCAGTCGAGACTATTCCCCCTGCGCCAACACCGCGTACTCCGCCACACATTCCTGTTTGTCCTGATGTCCTTCTTGAACCCTTTTCCCATGGCTCCAAGTGGGTCACCTTGTAATAGATTTCGTCTATAACTTCGTGATAGGTTTTCAATTCATACAGATTTACTAAAAAAGATATGGGATAATGTTACCATATGGTATAACAACATAGAAGCCTGTTTTTTCAGTTTTATGGCACCTACTAAAGTAGTGTCGTTTATGTGGGCTTATAAATTACTGAAATTTAGGGTATGTTTTGGGTCATTTACAAATAGAAATTAGATTCACCTATTCAGAATAATTTGGGGAATGCATACTTCAATTTTTAAATAACTTAAGTATTCATAAAACTGTAAAAAACAAACTGCTGCATTTGCAGCCAAGCAACATATCATTAAGTAATTATTCTGCAAACTGAGTTGCAAAATAATTAGTTTACCATATTTACATTGACACCACGTGCCCAAAGACGTCTGCAAACGTAGCTGACAGATGGTTATCACCACTGCCCAAACATGTCACTCTTGCTTAACATCCTGAAATGGCAATTTGTCTAAAGTACTGCTTTAAAAAACAAACAAAAACTTTTGCAAAAATAAATATTACCTACCACCACATACTGGAAGGCAACCTCAGGATCACTCCACAGTAATTCTAACATAAATTTGACTAAAAATCTTAAAAGTACTACCATGTTCTAAGGTTATTCAAGAATATATGATCCTATTAAAAGAAACTTACAAACCGAACTAAACAAAACACCTGATATAATTGAATAATATGACTAAAACAGAAGTGTATTACTGAATTAATTTGAAAAACAGAATGCAGAATAATAATTAATATTCAGACAGTTATAAAAATGTCTTTAACTGAAAAATAACTTAATGCTTTCAATGTAAACATCTAGATACCCATCTATTTACAATCATTTTGAAAGCCCAGATTACAACTAGTCAAGAATGATTAACACAGAATTATTACTTATTCTGATAACTGTCTGAATACATAAAAATTGGTTTTGCCTGGCTTATACATATAGAAGGCTAACATAACTACCAATGTTTGTAACGACTTATACATACCCTTGAAATAATGTGAGCTTTGAATGTTTGTTAAAATAAGTGGATTTAAGTTCATTGTTCTTTCGTTACATCCCAATGGCAGTACATTACTTTGTTTAGAAGAAGATTTTGGTACATATTCTGTTAAACAAAAAGGTCAAATTATTAGCAATACTATTTACACAAATTGTTAATAATTACTATGATTTTACCTTCGTCTTCATTGTGTGGATCCATTTTAGTCAGTAACACTGTATTGTATATAAAACGGGTCTAATTAATTGTGAATTGATTTATAAGTCCAAAACAGTAATTAATCAAATAAAATAAGTAAATACTGACGCCATATTTGCTGAACTTTCTACAAGATAACAACATGAAAATAAAAAAAAACCAATTGAAACGTGAAAATGGCTATTTGTTAACTTATTTCAAGGGTCGAAAAAAATAACATACATGGAGATGGGTTATGTTATGGGTTGCAAATTACAAACATTGGTTGTGTAAGATCCTGGAAAAGAAATTTAACAAAATTTGATGATAATTTATAGGTTATGTGGAAAGTACTTTCAGTTTTATAGTGTTGATTAGATAACTCACCATTTTACTTTATTCTATTTATTATTGCCAATTTAAAGGAATTTCGTCTAATTGCATATAGACTTTCATAAAATTAAAAATTAATATTAAATTAGCCTGTTTACGATTGAAACATACAGATACTCTACCTATGTATGTAGAGAATTATTCAAAGAAAAAGACAGATAATCCACGATCCATATATCAAAAAGAGATAGCTTGTGTCTGTTCAGCAGATGATCTAATTCATCAATTCATAGAACTATTTATCATAGATCAAAAGGTAATTTTTAGGGTGCATTCTCTATTCTAACAGACAAAATTCTTAATTACTTGATTTAATTACCTGATTGATATTTTTTTTTAATTCTTACTGCCTTTGATTGGTATTTATGTAGATTTTATTAAAATATTNACATTGGTTGTGTAAGAAGTAGTTTTCTTAGAAAAAAAATGTTATAATATTTAAGGCTATGATTACAATTAATACTAAACATAACTAACAGTTTTTCGAAATGAAATTACTGAGTATCTTTAAAAAACGCATCAATTTCTTCTTAAAATCGTTATTTGTGATATCATTCTTTTTCATTTTGTACCAGAGCCTTATATTTATGCAATTGGTGAAAACACAGAACCATTCCTTAAATCTTATTAGAGGAACACATGAATATCAACAAGCAATGTACAAAGCAGATGAAAAAGGTCAATTTACATGCATAACGAGTTTTGAGAAAATTGACTTTAGTTATGTGAATGATGACTATTGTGACTGCTTAGATGGTTCTGATGAACCTGCAAACAATGCTTGTCCAAATGGTCAGTTCTTCTGCAGATCTCAAGCTGATGTTCCTAATTTTAAAAAGATTGTGTCTTCAAGTAAAGTAAATGATGGCATTTGTGACTGTTGTGATGGGTCTGATGAATGGTTAGGGAAAGTATTGAATTTTGCTCTGCCTAGTAAGTAGTACACCTAGAGAGACAACTGAATACCATGTTTTACTAATATTATTTGTAGAACACACTCAAGAAAAATTGGGAAGGTATTTTGCTCCATGTCCAATCATTTGCTGAATTCTGCTTGTTATTAATAGAGAGTACTGTAAATAGTTCTGTTTAAATTGTGATAAGTTAGAGACTCTTTAATACTAACAGTTTTTATACCATTAAATTGATTGATAAATTTTTCTCTGTTTCATTAGGTAATGAGGAAATTATATACAAACACAAAGAAACAAAACATTCTTTTTAAATTTTATTACAAAAGAAATGAAGCTGATACATTCTTAGTGTTTTACATTTGAAAATTCACTTAATTACTAATTTGAAGAAGCTTATGAAATGGGTTTTATTTTGAAGTGCAACCCAATAAGTGAAAATACAAGACACTTCAAATCTTGTACTAAATAATAAAAACACCTTAGTCCTTCTGGGTCTTTTGATTGACTCACATCAACTAAGGACCCTGTCTTTGAAGTGGTAAATGAAATGTGTTCATCATTGATTACAATCTCCAATTCTTGTCTTCCAATACGGTCAGGTGGAGGCCATAGAGAATCGTCTTCTTGCATTATTTCCGAGTCTAAAATGATTCTTTTCAGCTCATCCATAACACAGGGATGTACGTAAACCTCTTTGCGAATCATTGTGTCGTTTTTGTAGTTGGAATTGTTTGCATATCGAAGTTTTCCATCAGGTCGGAATTCGAATTCCAAAAACTCGTGACCAAATTTACCTTTGTGGCCAACGTAATAACGTAAATAAAAGTCAGCTGACATGATTTAGTAGCAATTAACAAGTAGTTTGTACGAAAAAATGAAGAAAATACCGTGTTTTGTTCGGATTCACAACATTGGTTAATTGTAGGTTAGAATCTACCTTGAAAATAAATATCAGAATGACAACTGAATCTGAATTTCCTAAAAAACCCTAATCTCTAATTTATAATACCAACTGTAAGAAACGAACATGAAACTTTTAAAAAAGTTCTTAATAATTTAAATTATGCTTCTTTTTTTCTTTTATTTCTTTAATTTCTTCTAGGATTCTGTCCTGAGACTGTTTTATTATTTCGAGTGCATTTATTTCACCTTTTAAACGACATATTTCTTTTTCTTCCTCTTTGATTTGTATGATTTTGCGCTTGCAATTATTGTTATTATTTATCGCAATAACGTCGCTTTTTTCTGTATTTATAAAACATTCATTTGCATGTTTTAGAAAGTCTTCAATGCGTTTCTTAATTACAACGATTTCTCTCTCAAACTCCGCATCTTCTTTTTCGAATTTCTCTACCATCAATTTGTTTTGGTTTTGCAAATCTTCTAAAATTTTCATTTGAATTTTCTCTTCGATAATAATTTCATTTAACTTAGGTTCTAGATTACTGAACATATTTTTGTGTTCTTCTATCTCATCTTTTAATGTTTTTAAGTTTTTTTGCAAACTGGCGATGTTAACTGTAACATTACTCAAATTTCTGCAATTTTCATTGCGAATTTCTGCGTCTTTACGAATATCAAATAATTTAGTTTGAAGAACGTTAAATCTTATTAATAAATCTTTACCTTCCATTACAAAATACTATTGTAATTGTTGTCTTGACTAACTTGGGTTTATATTTGTTTATTTTTACTCATTAAATTCCATTATAAAATATTTTTGCAATTGTTAATTTGGCTAACTTGACTTATATTCGGGTAATTTTATAATTTCTTATAATAATTAATTAAACACTTAACTGTAGCAAATCAGCTTTATTATTATTAAATTTGTACACTAATAACTGTACAGTTGATTATCTAAATAATAAAATCACAGATATATTTATTGTAACCGATATATCAACAAAGTTTCAAATTATGTTTAAAGAGTAAAAATATAATTACAAGTGTGTCACACCAACCAAACTACGAATTCTGTCAGTAACTAACGTTAACGTGTTTCAAAAACGAAAGTAAAAAATATATTTTTATACAATGTTTATTTACATCTCATTTGCAAAGTGAACACCAACGCGTTTTCTTTGATTTACTTAAAACTGTTGGCAGCTTATTAGGCTTTTTAGGAACCCGAGTCAATAACAGCAATAATAAATTGTCAATTAAAAATTATTATTACGTTTAACTGTTGCTTTTCTTTCTTTTTTTCGTTTTCAAAACAAGAAAATACGCAACAATAGTAAGTAATAAATGTAGCCATGTTTACCCTATTGTTTTAAATAACAAATAAATATAAGTACAAAAATTTAAGCCTTACAATAACAAATTAGAATAAGTCAACAGCAAAAGTATAACCGAACAATAAAATACGAGTCTAGAAAACTTGTAAAAACAAAGTATATGATTCTGAAAATTTGTATACGAAAAAAAATATATTTTACCCTTCTCCAGATATATTTTAATCTAAATCTTTTTTTTTATGTATTTTTTAAATAAAAAGATTAATGCTTAATGATGCTGATGCTAATGAGAAGTTAAATATCAGAAATAATAACGTGATGGATTAAACATACCTTAAATGGCACAAAACGCACGAGTATTTTTACATTTTCCAAATACAAAAAAAAATTATTCAAACTTTCCGACAAATAAGAATTAAAATGCACGTTATACAGATGCTAACAACAAAGTCCTTATATGACAAGCAACATTGTTTATAACATCGTACAAAAAATATCCGTTGTGACGCAAAGAAATCACTAGTTTATATTTAATGTAAAAAATTAAATCTTACGACATCACGTCTATTTCGCGGGGCGACGCTAAAGCAGGAGGGGGCACAGTTATTATACTATGCGTAGGGGACGTTACTATCGTTGCGTCCCTCCTCATTTTATTCTCCGCGTTCTCTTTCGCCTCTGTGGTTGCTTGCCTTATCGCTTCTTTGTATGGTCCCCTCTTTTTTTTATTGTAACGTATCTGCAAAAAAACAAATCAAAAATATACGTACACAAAATAATTTAATACATAGATAAAACCAGTTTTACGTAATTAAATACCTTAAAATTCTCTAAGTAAGGACTAAGTTGATCACACTGTATGAGCGAAGACGTGGACGATCCGTACCAGGCCACGTGCGCTTGGGGGACCTGCTGAGAGGACGCCGTTATGGTCAACACTTTGCCAGGCCACCAGGGAAAACCATGTATTTTTCCCCAGACTACATCACCCACAGCCAATCTAACTCCTATGAAATATAAAACAAAAATTGACGTAAAGTCTATCATGGACAGGATGAATGTCGTACCGTCAGCTCCTAAAGCACTAGTGACGGTTTGAGAGTTCATCCGTAGTATAAGGGGCGGATTTGACGAGGGAAAATCGGGCACCTGTTCGCTATGTTCGTCTGAACTTGATGAATTACCATCACCCTTTTCCGAAGCGCTCTGGCATGACGTGTAAAGAGTGTTATTGAGACGTTTCAGATTAATAGACAGTTTTTGAGTGATCGTCGATTCTTTGTTTTGATAGTGGTAAGGGGCATCTGATTGTGATTGGGATACCTAAATCAAAATTAAAAAACTCTTAAAATCCCAAGAAAGATTTTAACTAATAAATAATTTATTACCTCTTCATCCCTATGCTTTCTGTCTTTATCCTTGTCCTCTCTGTGTTTCTTTTTCCTCTTCATTTTATGTTTGTGTCTTTTGGGCATATAATCACTAGTAGAGGATGTAACATATCGGGGCGAATTGCCTCCCAACATGTATCTGGGGGAAGAACCGCCTATCGTATACCTGGGAGACATTCCGCTAATGTAACTGGGGGAATTGCATAATAAAACTTTGTGTCTGGCTTTCTTTTTGGCTTTTTTAAAAGCTTTACGTGCCGCTTTGTTGTCCAGCGTCTTCCCTAAGTCTCGGGACTCGATTTTACTGTTGTTTTCTTCAGAGTCGTCACTTATATGATGCAAGTTTTCGATTTGGGCAGGTATCTTGAGCACTGTACCCTCGCCTTGTGATCCGAACGATATTTTTATCGTTTTCGTGTTAATAACAGCCATTGTGTTCTGGTGCTGTTCGTTCAGGGCGCTGCCGTTTTCAGAAGGGTGCCGATTCTCCTCGAACACACTTTCATCCCAAAGGTCCTCCATAGAGCCAACGCTGCGTTTTTTACGTAACGATCTTTTAATAGACTTCGCCAGGGGCTGTGTGTTATTACTTATTTTAGTCTCATTCACCTAACAATTATAAAAAGGTTTCAGAATTAAAAAAGAAATAGAATTTCGATATTTACTAATAAAAATTACTAATATTTGGAAAAGATCATGCATCATTTTCAAATCAAAACTACACTACTTTTACTACTACTTTTATTTTAATTTTTTCTAGTTTCCCTTTAATTTGATTTTCAGTGTCAGAACTTACTTTCTCTTAATCAAATCCATCTTCAATAAAAATTCATATTTCTTTGTAAATATATTTTATTAAAAACAGTGTTAAATATAGTTAACAAACCTTTTTATGAACAATGTTAACAAAAAAGACTGTTTTCAATGCAATGTTGTAAAGGACCAAAAACCCCTTTCCTACATATCTATCACCACCTATTTAATGATTTACTTACCTCTAAGGACTGGAGTGAATCATTGGAGTTATCGGAATGCTGCATGGAATGAGGTGATAACAATTTATTTTCTTGATTTTCTTCAGCGCCATCAGTCGTGTCAGGTTTTGATGTTGAATTTACAGCAGTACTAATATTTGTCTCTTCTTTCTCTGTCCTACATCCTCCACTGATGGCACTCAAAGTATTTTGAGATTGAAGTCTGTGTAGTTTGGGTATTAAAGTTTGAATGGACTTTGAACCTTTACTTTTATTATTATTGTTACTGTTGCTGGTTCTGTTTTGGTGTTCGATGTTATAAGCTGATCTGGTCATGGGGGCATTGGCGCTCCGTTTGACATTTTGGGGTGCCGGTACAGATTCTGAAGATTTACGTTTTCTAGAAACACTCTCAGAGTTTTCATTGCAAACAGCCTTGCATTTGGAGCATAAGACCTGACGAGGACGTAGTCTCACAGTCATCCTGTTATTCTTGAAACGAGAGGGTATTCTAACATTTTTGTTTCTACTCTTGGGATCTGTGTAAGTGAACCTTTGGTTGACTGAGAAGAGGAGATCATCATCTGCATTGTTTGTTTTGGTGGTGAATGCTGGATGAAGGGTTTGAACACCGTAGGGTAAATTTCTAAAAAAACAGTAATAAATTGTTCACTAGTCCATTTCGTAAATCTGCATTTTTAAAATGAATATAACATGAAGCTGGACAGATGAAATTGTGTAGATTTATTTGAGAGAAACACTCCTAAATAATTTTTCGAAGTTATAGATACTTAGTTGTAAAGTTATCATAATAATAAACATGGTGTCATAACTTTTAACTACTATAAAGTATTTTAAAGTTAATTTACTAAAAACAAAGAATAAGGAGACTGGAATCATTTTAATTTTTAGCTTCCTGTGCATTAGTAAATAGTGTAGGTAACACCTTATCAAAATAGCTCAGGGAGACTAAGTTGTCTTTGAAAATTACAACAACCTTAAACCACACGTTTAAATAATTATTAAACGTAATAAGAATATTTTGTTTCGTTTGGGTTTAATTGTTTTATAATCGAATGGTCTTCACTTCAAGTTTTAGACATAGTTGATCCTACCTTTTACATGAGTCGAGAAGTACCCCCTTGAAAATTTTAACACCGAATTCATAAGTAACTACAAGTATGTCTGGTAAAACTTCATCAACAAAAACTTGAATTTTTGTATTTTTCAATAACTTTAACTGCATGTCCATTGTTTTATCGTGATCCGCCATTTTTGTAAGTCAGCTCAACAATAATTACAATAGTTTTATTCATTTTAAATTTATTATGAAAATTTTAATTAAAATGAATTAAAAAGTTGAATTTCTACCACATTCAGCTATTTTATATTTAGTAGTATAAAAATTGTTTAAGAAATATATTAATCTCCCTGATAAATAAGTATATGTATTGTAACGTAGTGTATGGAGAATTGATTTATGGAAATACGAAATTCAGAGCAATTATGGATATTATTTGACAAATGTGACCTTGAGGGAGAAATTACCGGAAAATAAAGGGAAGAAAGTGTAAAAAGACAATAAAAATAGTTTTCCTAACAAGATTCCCTATTTTGTAGTTAAAATAAGTATCCAGAGTAATTAATAAGTAAATTTGTAATCGATAGTGTAAGTTTTTTCTTAAAAACACAATGCATATTATTTAAAACAGCACCCTTTAAACAAAGATTGACAATAAATCTAATAATTTAAAATAACTGAAAACCACAGGTAAGAATAAATAAATAATTGATAAACGAGAATATGTACATTGACCTTCCAATTGTCATTATCCTCTAAGTTTATGTAATGGCATTAACATAAAATCAAAATTAGCAAATAAAGGCTGCAATATGAGTCTCTCCTTTTCTAAAAAGTTGAACCAGTTGAACTCAGCATTTCTAATATATTTGTGCTTTTTCAGTGTGATAAAACCTATCGACGAATCCTACAATGGAGAGAAGACTTGACATTGATAAACCCCTTTGGAGCCAGGACACCTTCCTAGGACGTTGGAAGCATTTTGCCTTTATTACAGATCCTCGTCTGTGTATTTTGAGAGAGCAGGAATTGGATAAAGCAAAGCAATTATTGGAGCAATACCGGAAAGGTCTGGAACCTCCTAACACAAAACTAGAAGATGTTATACGAGCTAAAAAGATTTATGAAAGTGCTTTTCATCCAGACAGTGGAGAGAAACAAAATGTTTTTGGAAGAATGTCTTTTCAGATGCCAGGTGGTTGTCTAATAACTGGTGCTATGTTACAGTGGTATCGGTAAGTGATGGTAGTGATTTCCATCAAATCAGAAATTAATTATTTAGTTATTATCAGAATCATTGAAAGAATTCAAAATCTGTTAGTTCAAATTAATTCTAAACTTAAGTTCTTAAAACTTTTTACGTCGATCTGTATTGGGCCCCCTTATTTTTACATTTTTAGATTTCATATAAAACTCCCCAGTTAATCCTTATTATTATAATGCATAGTTAAAATAAGATAGTTAATGCAGATTAATAATTTTTCATTTTACAGAAAAAGTGCAACTGGGAATCTTCTCTTAAAATGCATTCAGTAAATATTTGCGTATTTTCTTTGACCTCGTCACTTATGAGTCGTTATTTAAAACTTTTTGGCCTGATACCAAAAACAACTTGTTTTGCCATTTCCTCATTTATGCAATCATAGGTCGTGTTATTTTTAACACCATAAATACAAAACTAGCAGATATTATTTATTTGTTTGTATGATTTGAAAATTTATTTAAAGTTTTTACTTGGAGTAATAAACAGGGCTTTATTTTTAATTTTTAATTAGATTACTACACAATATTTATACTCCCTTGTAGGATGTAACGTTAATTGTTATTGTTTGAAGAACTGTCCCCGCTGTAATCTTCTGGCAATGGGTCAATCAGTCGTTTAATGCATTCGTCAATTATACAAATCGAAATGCACAATCACCCATTACAACGACCCAAATGGGCATAGCCTATTTGTCTGCTACCTCATCAGCTATTGCTGTGGTATTTGGCAGCAAAAGATTTTTAGAGAAAAGAGCAGGACCATTATTACAAGTATGCCTCGTTTTAATTTAAATTTTACATAATTTATGACTTTAGAGTAAACATATTTGCTTTGCTTGTTTTAGAGGTATGTGCCCTTTTTGGCGGTGGCAGCTGCGAATTGTGTGAACATTCCTCTAATGAGACAGACTGAAATAACAAAAGGATTAGAAGTGGAGGACGAACAGGGTAAAAAATTGTGCCACTCTAAATTGGCAGCAGTTAAAGGTATCAGTCAAGTGGTTCTTTCAAGGATAGTCATGTGTGCCCCTGGCATGACTATTTTACCTGTTATCATGGAAAAGTTGGAAACTTATCCTTGGTTCAAGCGGATGCAGAAGTTACATGCGCCGTTTCAAATTACTGCAGTTGGTTGCTTGTAAGTATTGTCGTATATCAACTAACAAGCATCTATGACGTACCTAATTAAAAATTTATTTGCCTTTTGTTCTTGTAGTTTAACCATTATGGTTCCAACGGCTTGCGCATTGTTCCCCCAGACAGCGTAAGTCCCTTTAAGTTTATTATTTTAAAATATTATCTTACCAAATATACATTGTTACAGTTCTATCAAGACTTCGACCCTGATGAGGTGGGAACCGGATCAATACGAGATACTAGTTAAGAATTGTGAAGGGAGCAACATTCCAGAAAAGGTTTACTTTAATAAAGGACTGTAAAAGGGTAACCTTGGTCCTGTAGTATTAAGAATAGAATTATAGGGAGTTTAAGTCCCACAGGAAAATGATAGATAAGTGACTTTTATTGTTGCTGTATTTGACTTATGCAGTTGTTTTATTGATATTATTTTAATTGTCGGTGCTTTAGCAATTTACAATGCACACTGAACATTTCACAAATTTTTATATATAATTTTAATTATCAAATTTTTAACTTTATGTATTTATATTTTTGTATATTTAAGTTCAATCAATTGGTTTTACCTGAATAGGCCTTTCTAAAAATTTATCACACTGATGTGCTTTAGCTCTTTACCACCCCTCCAACCCCTACATTCGTTTGTTCCCCAGATCGAACCTTATTCCTGTTTTGGATCTCGAAAATTACTTGGCCAGTAATTACTTATATGTTTATATTGCTACTGTAATTTCCTGCGTATGTACTGTGTATACCTAGTAATATAATTCCACTAATTGTTGTATTCCACTTTTTGTGATATTTGTTAATTGGTTTTGTAATAATCGGTATTTATAAGAGAAACAAAATGTTCAAAAATGTGTTATTTCTGTAGCAACATTGGCAAATTTTAAAAATGCTATCAATAAATAAATTAATTGAGATCAGTAATTGTTTTATTATAATACCCTTAACAATAAACAAAAAAAAATTGAATTGAATAAATTTACTACTAACCTGTGAAAATAAAAAAGATCCTAAACTACTTATGCTCTCCTGATACAAATGTTGAAAATTTCGAATAACACAAAATTTTAATCATCTAATTATTTGTTGATTGGACCCCGTATTCGTCGCGAGTTCAAAATTTCGAACATTTGTATTAGGAGAGCATAAGTCGATTCGGGTCTTTTTTTGTCAAATTATTTGTTGATCAGACCCTAAGCCACTTATGCTCTCCTAATACAAATGTTCGAAATTTTGAAGTCGCGACGAATACGGGGTCCGATCAACAAATAATTTGACAATCAAAAATCTGTGCGGATCAAAATTTGTAATATTTCTATCAGGAGAGCATAACTAGTTTTGGGTTCGGTGTAAGAAAACTTTATGGATTTATTCTTTTATTCTGAAGGCAGTGTCATTAATTTTTTTATTTTAATTGCAGTTATGGTATTAAATAAAATGCGTTATTATAACAAGTATATTTATTTGCAGAAAACACATGAAATACGTCTCAAATGAACACTTTTTTCTTGATTTATACAAAGTAATACAACATAAATTTAACTCTTATTGAAAAATAACAAACTTAAAGGTCTTTTTATTGTAATTCTGGATGGACAATTCTACAGATTGCATGTAAATTTGAGTCTGTCTTAGAAAAGAAAAATACTAACGCTAATAAGATACAAAAGATACTTTTTAATTTCTTCTTACCTATTTTAGATACACTATATACAAAAAATAATAATAATCATAAGAAATTCTTGTTAATACTTTCAATACGCAAAACAACTAAAATAATATTATTTATTCGATAACGATTATTTTCAAAAGAAAATGCAATACAACGGAGGGAGATTCAGATTCATAATAATAAAAATTTAAAGTTTACACTTTCGAAATGCTACTTTGCATATGCGCCGATTCTATCAATAAGGATGCATCACAAATCATTTTCGAGTTGCTTCGAACAAGAAATAGTAAATGACACTCTTCGTAAACGGTTAATTTCACTTTAGTACAAACGAGACCGTGTAAGACTGTTGCCCTCTGCAGATCGAGCCATCTTTGAAGGGCCAGCTCCCTTTCCCTGATGTTCATGCTTAGGACGACATCGGACGGTCCCCATAGGGAAAATTCCAGCACAGACTTAACTTGGGTCAACGAAATTGCTCTCTCATTGTTCAGTAAGGATCCTAGGAGCGAAGTCAGTTTAAAATCAGGCATAAGCTGCAGGAGAGCTTTTCCAGCACAGTTGCAAAGGGAGACAAAGTTGATTTCGTCATGATTTCGAGATGAATCTTCACCAAACCTGAACAATAAAAAAAAATACATTTTATGTCAGTCAAAAAGGTAATTTCTACGATTTTTTCTCGTTAATAGCATCGTTTTAGGGCAAGGATTTCTATATTTCAATAAGCTTTTGAACCTTAGGGAGACTAGGAGTTAGAAAGCAGTTGCGAAATTAAAAAAGTTTTATTTACCCTTGCAAAATACAAAGGCGATGATGCATCTCTTTATCCATTTCCCTGCAAAGGACGAAGGTGGTCAAGGAGTCTGGTAGTTCCTCGATTCCTTGAGCTTGTAGCATCTTCAAGGCGTTGACTAGTTGAAGGAGAACAAAGTAGGCGTCCTTTCTGGAATCGTCTGGCGAATGGCTTTTCGATTTCAAAAGTTCACTGTACGTCTTTATAGAATGAACCTGCATCCAAGGATGTACAGCAATCGTTGCTAAAATAGAGAGAAATTGCGATAACAACTAAGCAACTGTATCGATGAAGAATGTAAAGAGTGACGGTTGTGGAATGACTAAATAAAGTAAATAATTTTTAGACGCCCATTGCGATAACAACAGTAATTAACAACACCCTGTATTATAAAGAGAGAAGTATTTTTTTTAAGTAATACCTTGGCAATTATCGCTGTCTTTATCAACGATTGAGGGGACATCCTGGACGGGTACGAGGTCAACGAATTCAGTAATAGGAATAAGGTTGAAGTTCCCCAAGGATAACGAACTGGACGGAATCGTTCCCTTGCTGATAACAAGGGTGACGTGTTGGGAACCCCATAAGGCTTGGTAGAAGACGCGAGGACCTAAAAGCAGTGGCGTAGAATTTTCTATAAGGGTGAAGTCCGACCATCGAAGACTGGAGGCTGCCTTTAATCCTCTAAGCGCTGGCATCACTGTTGGGACGTGGGTTATCTGTAATAGAAAAAATAAAATATAAATCATAATTATCCATTTAAATGAAATGGATTTACATTTTCTAAAACTTGCGCTAATGCTTCGTGGTTTGCCACAACTACAGCTCCATAATTGTCCTCCAGATTTTTATGTACTATACTTCGTCCTTTTCTTGAGCGTAGCTTGTGAGTTCTGCTTCCAGACATGGTCCACTCCCTATCGTCATCGAATATCTGAAAATATTCGTTCGGTTGAACATACGTCAGAAAAAATAAGTCGTACCGTTAAATAATAAACTATCACTAAATAAAAATTCATAAAATGGTTGTATATGACCATGAGAAAATTAAATAAAAAAATTGTGATGGGCTCACCTCCCCTTCGCTTCCGTACAATCCGTAGGGCGAGTAAATTTCAGATTCTGTTTCGCTTCCGCAATAAGTAAGGGATGCGCTTCTGGGAATGTGGGCGTTGTACTTATATCCCTCTCCAGACACGTCTATATTACTGGAAGACTTGACTTGTCCAAGGGATTTTCTTAATCTTCCGGTGTTAGCTACGGGGCTATTTTTAGTAGGACTCGAAGGGGAATCGAACTCCGGAGAACTGGATCGCACCCCGTTTATATAATCGTACACATTTTCGTTTGCGTCTTTAACACTCCCGCCATTTACCCTGGCCAAGTTGATGGGTTCGTACAGATGACCGTTTGTCTTATGTTTTTGTGCGAGAGCGAGGGCAACTTCCCTTTCGCGCATACTTGCAGTACGTTGCGGCTTATGGGGAGTAATCGACGACCGAACCTCCCCAATGTTCGCGTAGACGGAATCATGAGATTTCGGGGATGCAGAACGGGCGTTCTTTTGTTTCGGAGACGGATCGTGGGGTTTGGGGGGGTGCGGTAAACTCGGTTTACTCGTGGGACCGTACAATTCCAAATTACGAGGAGGGGGTGCCGGTTTGAACGACCGATTCTCGTAAATGGGATGACCGGAAGCATGCAAGGAAGCGGTAGAATTGTAGATTCCGTTTTGCATGGTGTTCAGGGGGCTATAATCGGTGATTTCGGGAGGTATGACGGGCTTGGCAACTACTTCGATCTTCTCTCCGTTTAATTCAGAGGGATGTACGATAACGAGCCTTTGTTTGCTGTTGGAATTTTGCTTTTGACTGTCCTGTTTCGGAGCGTCCACGAAGTCTTTGGTAATGAACTCTTTGTTCGACGAGTTCATACGCAGGAATTTCTTCAATGAGAACCGTTGTTTTGCCTTTTCTTTCTTTTTGTCGTCCATTTTAGCCGATGTCAGGTTATCGGATGACAAGGAAATTGTTCTTCTTGGACCCACATCCGGTGGAGAAACATATCTCGCTAACTGGGGCTCATTACAATCGCCGTTGCCGATCTCGTTGTAAATGGAAGAATTATATATTTCTGTGCGATCTTTATGAGAATCGTCTGGATACGGTGCGATCGTCTTTTTCGAATAAATATTGCTCTCTTCAGTTGGTGGAGGCATCGGCGCCCTCCGTTTGTTTGTCGTTCTTCCATAATCCGATCCCGTGGAGTCCTGTTTGCTGAGTTTCGATTTTTGGAGTTCGGATACAACTTTGGGATGTTCTGCTACTATTTTAGTTGTAATTGGGTTTGCAGAGGGAAGCGGAGGCTCGACGGGACTTTTAGGTGGTTCTACAGAAAACGTCGTAAGAATATTTTGATGGCCGACATGTTGATTGGTGGCCATCACTGGTTTTCGAATAAGCACAGTGGCGGGTTTACCGGGAGGTTTGGGTTTCTCGGATCCTGGCCCGTGTAGAAACGAAGATCGAGTCTCAAAAGGGGGTGGTGTGGATGGTAAAGCTGGGACGTCGTTGTTTCCGTCAGGATCGGCATGACCGTCAGGTTCTCCGGCCAATTCCCGACTCCCCGGTTCTTTAATGTTTTCAAGAGATCGAGTCGTACTTAATTTTGTGTATTTCTTAGACATTTCTTCGTCTTTTAAACTCTCGGTGAGTGAATTATTTGTGTCACTTGCGGAAACGTCTTCGTAATTGTCAGTGTCAGTTGTTGTCGAATCCGCTTTGTTCGATTCTTCAGAGTCGGAATGTTTTTCAATGCCGCTGTCGTTTTCAACATTATCTTCGTTCTTTGATAAATCTTTCGAGTCTATAATATTTGTCACAGTTGGTGTCGTCAAATTCTCCTTGCTGCTTCTCAGTTTCAAATTTTTCGACGTGAAGAGCTCCAGCTTGGCAGTGGACCTCTTTATTACGGGGGCTCTTGTCAATAACACTTTTCTTTCGCAGGCGTTAATCTTGGGCTTTGATTCGATAGGTTTTCCGGACTGTTCAACATTATTGTTTTCGTTAGTTTTTATAACAGCACTGGTAGCACTTAAATTTTTATCGATAATTATAGGGGTTATAGCCGGTGAATTTTCTGGAGATTTTGTTTCGGGAACATTTTCTGTTAGCTTACAATCCATGATTGAAATCCGATTGCCCCCTTTCTCCAAAGTTTCCGAAATCTCTTCCAGAAGTGATTTTTCAGTCTCATCTTTTTGTACTTCCTCCTTATCATTATTGTAGGAAGTTAATATTACATTTTTCTTGTGTTCTTGGACGGTATCTTTCGTAGTTTTTGCCACTGGGATTTGTGATACAGTTTTCGTGTATTTCCTGGTCGGCGTGGAATTATCCTCCCCGAAAGGGGTAACCGATACAAGTAGCGTTTGTTTCTTACCCGTTGAATCGACTTGAGGGGTTCCTAATTTCAAACTGGCGAAACTTTTTTTAGTATCAGGAGGAGAATCGTTCAACAAGTTGGCATTAATTGTGTTAAAATCGGTATTAGCCTTTGTTATTCTCTGTAACTCTTTCTCTTCTTCCCCGTCCGCTTCGTACTCGTTATCTTCCGAGGTGTCTTCACTGCTCATAAAATCATCATCGTTATCAGACCAGTCTTCACCCCCGTAACCGATAACTTTCGATACTTCCGCGGTGAAAGACACCGTACGTTTGGTTTTACTGATTTTTGCAGCTTTTTTTATGATACTCGCGATTACTTTTTCCGATTTCAACGCGATCGGTTTCAACATGATTTTTTCTACGTGTTCGTCTTTCGATTTAAAACAGTTGGAACATAACTCCTTTTTCCATGCATTTTGAACAAAATTCTGACATATCGCCGACATCTCTCAGATTACCTGAAAAGAAATATCATAACTCTTAAATTCCCTGCATATTTAATTAAAATAGTAATTCGCCAATGGCTCTTAGTGAAATACTATATTGACTAACTTAAGAATAGTAGCAAACAAAGACCTTCCAGAAGTTTCACAATGTTCTTCTTTATTTACTCATTTCGCCTTGCTATCATTCTAAAGCAAAATGTACAAAGATCATTGTGAAATTTCCTAAAATATATTTGTTGTATCGCCCTGTACGTATTTAAATTTTGCAAATATAAATTCGCCAAATGTTGTCCGCTGTAGTGAGCAGAATGTAATCTAAAACACGTTTTCCACATCACAAGTTTATCTACTGTAACTGTGTGCTAATACTGGATCAGTTACATTATTTTGTATGCATTGCGGTGTCTGATTCTGCCTGTGATACAATGAATTACGTGTAGGTTAAATACAAAAGGAATACGAATCGATTGACCTCTTGTAATACTTATGCAGTTGCCTAATAAAACTATTTCGTTTGGGCGAAACACAACACGGAATTCGATGGAAATATAAAAGGAAGGTCCCTGAAAGTAGACAGGTGTGTGGGCCTGATTGACTAATACCCAAGAGTTGTTTTACTCTTTTAAATTACCTAAATGTTATAAAAATTAATGTAAAGCAATGAGCCAAAGAAATATTATGTAACGACAAGATAAATACACCTTTCTTTCGTTTAAAAAAAATATTAATTTTCTTATTATTCCTTCTCTAACACAGACGTTGAAGGTAAGAATTTCGCTTTATTGAGGTCGTTTGGAACACTTGACCAGTTAAGAAAGTCTAGCGAACTCTACTCTAACAATATGGAGTTATTTCTTATGCTATTGAATAGGATTATTTATTTACTTTTACAGTTATGCAATCCAAAGAGGTAAACATATAATGGACACAAAAATATCTAAGAAGTTTAAATTTTTCAACACCTTTTGTACTTTTTTGACTGGCTTAAGTTTGTGAAACAAAGTAAAAAAACACAAAGTTCTCGTAAAATCAAATGGCAAAGATAAACCACCCACTTTTGGTACCCACCATAAAATATGTTTTGTGTTTTGATTAAAATTGAAATTCATTACTAAAACTCATTACAACATTTAACGACAGGCGTTATTTTTTTCGTTAAATTACACCTGACGATATCTATAATTTTCAATTGCTGTGTTCGTTTGACGCTATTTTTCACCTGCCTATACCATTCGAATCCTAATCTTTGTAGAAATATGTAATGTGATCGAGAAACCAATTGCACAACAAACGTTCGCAAAGTTTACCATTGTTGCACTTTACGATCGGCTATAGGTAGGTATACATGTATTTATGTGTGGATTTAAAACACTTATTTTGCACACTTTCACACCTTTCGTACATTGCATGCTTACATACATCCATACACATATAAAAGATACGAAACCTACTTAATACGTATGTTCATGTAGATATGCATAAATATACATGCACACAATACCACACGTAAATGTATCGGCAATAAATGATAATAATTAAACCTATTTTTCACAATGGAAAAAGGGGGGCACCAGGTAATAAGTACAATATGTCAAAGACATTTTAATACACGCATAAAAAATCAATCCAATCTACCATATACGTAATATGTTGAATATATGTAATGCGAATACTAATGAATTTTATTTATGATCGGTAATATTATAGCTATATATATGTTAGGCCCGAAAACCGAAAACGCTCAGTAGCCGGAAAAAACGGCCACATCGCGTTCTGACTGCCTTCGAACGCACAGAACGCGTTTTGGCTGTTTTTAAACGCTCGCAACGCGTTCTGGTAACTGTTACAGCCGGAACGCGTTTTGTCAATTGTTGAAGCTCACAACGCGTTCTTAATGTTCGACTTGTATTATTTGCCGCTTTCTGCCTGCGTACAATGAGATTTATATTGTAGCTACTTATAAAACAAATGAATTTCAATCCATTTTTCAGTTTTTAGGAAACAATTCACTGAAAAACAATTATAAGAAATTTAATATTGTTGAAATGATTCGGCGAGAAAAACCGAACCCATGTTTCGTATCCAATTATAGTTGTCAATAATTAAATTGTTTCCTAAAAACTGAAAAATGGATTGAAATTCATTTGTTTTATAAGTACAATATAAATCTCATTGTAGATACGCAGGTAGAAAGCGGCAAATAATACAAGCCGAACATTAAGAACGCGTTGTGAGCTTCAACAATTGACAAAACGCGTTCCGGCTGTTTAACAGTTACCAGAACGCATTGCAAGCGTTTAAAAACAGCCAAAACGCGTTCTGTGCGTTCGAAGGCAGCCAGAACGCGATGTGGCCGTTTTTTCCGGCCACTGAGCGTTTTCGGTCTTCGGGCCTAACATATATAAAATTGGAAGTTTCAAAAAAAAAACTTAACCCAGTACTTATAAATTTTGTCCACTTGGGGTCCCGTACTATGGGAAAGTTATTTTACTTTTCTATTATATTAAACTAGAGTTAGAGCCGTGTAACCACTCGTCCCGCATCCTTTTTTAATGAACTTTAATTTGATATGCATATGGTACATGTGGGGTTATAATAGAAACAACCACTAATAAATTAAAAAGTACTTCCAAATTTTGCAAAAAAATAAAAACTTTTTGAAGTAGCAGGTACTTAGACACAGATTAGTAAACAAAATTATCATTTTGCAAATGTATAGACGGAAATAAAATATACGAAAGAATGCACCGCCGAGAGGGATAGTGAGTGCTTCGTCCTTGCCATTGTTTTTATTACCTGCAATACTTAGTGTTAGCTGCGGTTAAAGTGAAGGTATAATTTTATTAATGCGAATAATAAATAACTTCAAGTATTTCATTACATACATCGACCATAAACTGGTATTAAACATGTACCATTTAGAGCAATATGCACAATAAAGGATTTCGTTGTACGACCAGCCTTGGAAACCAGTTCAGATAGAGAGTACACTCAAAACGATTTTTATGTCACATACCTTATTATAATGGAAATTCCGATAATAAGACATGACATAAAGTAATATTTTAGTATAGCAATAATTTATCTGAATGCCTATTCGATAGTCCTTACAGTTAGTTTAACTCCTTGTTACATTGGCTCAGGAACTAGTTGATAGTGGAAACAGTGGTGGCATTTAATGGGAAAGATGTTGGTAGAACCATTCTTCTAACGAATTGTGGTTTTTTAAATAACATTTAATAGCTTTTTCTATGTTTGTTTTACGAAAATATGTATTTAAAAGAAATTAACATCACATGTACCTCTATCTTAATAAATGTCACACAAATCGTAACTCAAACTATTTCAAAATGAACACGTACTTTTATTATGTACTAACTTATTGAAATCGTTTACTGCAAAGGTATAAAGAAGAAGTCGAAAGCATATTTGACTCATCACGACGACCTATATCTGACATTTAAGAAGATAACCTTGGTTTCACATGAAGATTACGATAGCGAGTATTTAATGTGTTAGAATGTTAAGATTTTACTTTTTCTTTGCAATTTTATGCGGTCAATTACGGTCACACACCACTAAGTATTTTCAACTTATAAACTATAAACTGGACTAGACTATTCAGTCAAAAACTCTAACAAATCAATTGTATTGACCGTAATTAGGCATTTAGAAAATGTCACACAAAGAAAAAGGAAAATGTTACAGTCATTTAAATTTTTCGCAGTTATTACAAAGTATGTCGAACACCTGTGTTTGTCTAAACTTGTTGCACTTTTTTTTATCTCGTAAAAAGTATGTACACAACGTTTCTGTTTTGTTTGCCCATGCAAAGTTACATTTTAGATAACGTGGGGACATAATAATATGGAAAATTAGAAACAAACGTTTAATTATTCATTATACATTAACGAAACAGCCAATAGAGCATCAGTTCAAAGACCTCCACAGCAATAAGTCATATTTCGTAACAAAATTTATGTATGTTCTACAACCTAACGTCACTGCATATTCATGTACCTATATGTACAGTTATAATATAGAAAATTAATTCTCGATATCGATGATAATTCCACATCTGGCAGATGTTGTATCTATTGCTACGTCACGATTTCGACGATTGCGACCATTTGAGCGAAAGTAATTCTTATAAACGAGATGTATTACAGATGAATCACGATGCTAATTGGGCAATTTTTTTTGCCACGTAATCTAACGGGGTCTCTTATTTATATGTACGAGTAGGTGTAAGGAATAAAAATGTACAAGACATTAACATCATTGGCGGTAGAGGTCCAGATTACGCATTTGGAAAGATACAGCTTTGCTTACCTTGTAGATATCCAAAATTCATGTTCGCTCTAGAACTGAAACCGATATCTTACCTGTAACAAAGAAAAATATCGTTAATTATTATAATTTTACATGATCATTAAGTCGTTCGTGCATGCGTGCTGTTGGACCATGAAACAGTTCTTCCAGTGAGATAATTCGTTACAACAGTTCTTGTTATAAACGTATGAAAACCATAGAATAAAATAATAAGATCGGTTAGTGTGGAATATAAATTCATGTATCTGTATAGAATTAAGTGAGATCTAGGTAACAGGCCTTGAAAAGTAAAAGCTGCTACTTTTTTTCGTACATGCAATGCACTGATCGGCCGCCCAGTCGATTGTGGAAACTGCAATTTCGCAAACTGCGGAATTTGTTTTGTAAAATCCGAAATGCCAAAGGATTTAATTGTTTTATGTGTATACTTAAAGGTTAATAACTATAACTAACGTATGACAACAAAAACTCTGCCGCCTTCACAGTAATTCCGCAAAAAAATACAGCAATTTTAATTAAAACATTTCAAAAGCACCTTAAACACCTGTTTCTTTTATTTTACGATTATATACAATAATGTTTTACCGTAGGTTTGCTATAGAAACAGTGTAGCTCATAACAGAACATTCTGTACCTAATTGACAATTAAAAATCAGAATTATTAATTAAAAATCGCCAATTTTGGCGCCCGAGTTCGAACTAAACAATTGCAAAGAATTAGACGGGTTTAAACATCTGCATTCTAATGTATTGTTGGTTGCACACAGTAATGACATGTTCTAATTATTAATGTAATGTTTAACATTTAAAGTACGTATACACATAAGCACATGAAAATTAGATTTAAAAATTCACAATTAAAAAATATTCTATAGATTTTGCAATAAATATATTTCTATTAAAAGCCATTACATTATAGATTGAACACGACAGGTTAAAAGAACATTACCCTTTTCAACAAATTCCGAAATATTTCACATGAGCAACATTGGCAAATAACTGCCTATAAACGTGTATGTGTTAAAGAGCCATTAAAATTCAAATCGGGATTGCAACTAACGCTATTAGCCTTGTTTCGTATAAGTATCTGTTTGAAAGCTTGTATTTTACTTGCCATTTATGTATCTTCCAACAGATAGACATCTTAATAGATAAAATTAATAATTCGATTGGAATTCTAAACAGGAGTTACCTAAACTTTAAATGACGAATTGAATGTTACATTTTATTGACTATTTGGCTTGTTCGATTTCTCCACATCTTCCACACATTAAGAATTACATACTTAATAACAATTTAATTAAAAAACTATTAATTCAAATCACAAGAACAGGAATCAAGGCAGAATTATAAGGGTGAAATGTTTAATGCTTGCCACCAAGTCCTTCGATAGTCTTCTAGACAAGTAAATGTGAAGTATTTCTCAATATTTTTAGTTACGAAGTAATAACAGTTATTCGAAGAAGAATTGATACGGATATTATACACAATATATATAAATATGTACAAGGACGAGGGACATGCATGCTTATAGAATATGAAACTTTATTTTTTATTTACTTATATGCATTTCAAATACACGGGTTTTAATGTCACATTCCACAGATAATGCCTGTATTGCGTCCCGTTGACGTTCCTTATGTAAATTATCAATGAAGGTGTGGTTACAAAAAAATAATATATTTCTAGATAAAGTAACATGTGTTTTTCTGCGAAAGTCGGTATAAAATGTTGTACTTTTAATTTAATGATTTACTAACTTACGCTGAATGTAGGTAAACTATGAATGTTTGTGCTTATTTTTCGGCTGTGCATTTCATAAAATAGAATGGAAAATGAATTTACCATTACTGAACAAAATTGTATTACGTCACTCTTCCTTATTATACCTAGAGCTGTGCTTAATTCAATTCAACGGTGTTACCGAATCGAGATTACTTCCTTTGATTTCAACTGTACAAAAGCGAATTCTTTCTTTCTTACAATTAGTAGTAGGAGTCAGCCAAGCAGAAATTTTAGGGCAAACATTTGAAATATTCGACTTGAGAAACATCAACTGCAAATTTTTCCACAACAAATCTTTATTCAAATACGTTCTTTTATTTTGATAGATAGGCGATAGGTGAAAGTATTTTTTGATAGAATAGTAATAGTAACAATAATGAAAAGAAGTCTATTCTAAAGATAGTTCACCACAAAGCTTCTAACGGAAATAGAAATTTATTTAAGAAATTCTGGTTTTATTTACACTTTCTTCGTGAAAAGATAAACAACGATAGATATACTCCAAATAAGGCTATTTAAACACACGACAAACAGGACATCAGAAAAGATTATCTTGCCCTGTACCATAATGCCATGATATACAAAGATAACAGTGGCGTAGCCATGGTAGAATAAAGTAATAAATAAATAGAATTTTTAGAAGCACACTAAACGCATTTTAATTGACCAAAATAGATTCTATGTACATTATTTTATGACAAAATAATTAATATTAGTGCCTAAAGACTAAAGCGAAAATATGCACACAATAAGTGTATTTAAAGTCGTTCCTGTGAACACAATAATGAATGTGAACAAAAATTGCATTGTCCGCTGTATATATGCATATCACACTTTTACTATTCATTTAAAACATAGTAAACAATAAGATAAAGTAAAAGTGTTAATTAGAAAAATATGAATTTATAATTAAGCGATTATAATATTATAATAGCTATGGGCTACGAACTTTTTGTCTGTTATTATAACTTCACTTTCTTTTTAATGTAACTGTGGGATTCTAAAGCTCTAAATAGTTTTGAATATAATAAAAAAGAGAGAGCTTTTAATCTTATTGGTTAGATAAAATACAAAATCGTGTTCTTGAGATAGAATTAGGCAAGGTACATCGCATTAACAAAAAAAAAACATACACCTGAGTCTCATTTTCGCTTAAACGCTTGGTCTATATAAGAATGTGACCTTAATTTCAACACCAATAGCGTCAGTCAATCTTATTTGAAAGAAAAAAGTGCAATTAACTGTAACCTTCGAATATAGTACATCCAGACACACACGCATATTTGTAGCTTGGTGTTTTCAAAACTAAATTTGTTTCTAATTAGATGATAATAAAAAAAAGATTCACAAAATCCACCTTAACCTTGGAGCAAAACAATGGGAAAAAGATACAAGTGCTATTGTATTTGTTCCACATGAACTAGAAGATATTCGTTTTTCACACATGTTTTGTTATTTCGTATAAACGCTTAACAATGGGTTGCATTAGAAGAACTTGAACAGTTCGAACTTCATTTCAAACTTTAACGAAAGCGCTTGACTAATTTTATAATTATAAAAAGACGCATCCTGATAAACTAAACGAAAACATGTAGTAAAGGACAATCTTTGTAGTTGGAAAACAACTATCAAAACAAATGATTACTGATAATAGTAATGCCCATCAGAATTTCCACTTTTATTCTCGTTGGCGGATTGTTCCAGATGGCAATCAAACTGCTGTAGCAGTCGCCCTCGTCGCCTAGGCAAAATTGACTTGTACAGTCGCTATTTTAATTTTCAGTTACACAAATTGTCCATTATATCTGTAATTAAGCGTATACGAACCGTTGGCCTTTGATTATCATTGAGTAATGACGGTTATTACAACCAGATTGCCAGTACAACACCCGGAAGATAGGATCGTTGAACATCAGGAAGATGTCGTACTAAACGGTGCATATTGTGCAGTTATTATCTCCTACATAAATATATTAAATAAAAAAGATACCATAGGGATATTGTTCCGGAAAGAGAGTTCTGTCTCTCCGATATTAGTTAATTTTAGATTATTTCGTTAATGATTAAGAGAAACTATAACTCATTCTGTACAACAAGTCACTTCTTTCCGTTGTCCCATTGTCCGATTTCTACGTTGTAACTGTTGCATCTTTTTCCTTTTTGTAAAAAAATCCGAAAAATATCTACAACTAATGCATCTGCATGGCAAAACTGCTGACGACCGACCTCCTTTCAGTATTTCTTTGCAAAATTTCTCTTTACAAACGTCCACGGTTCGTTAAACAAACGAGAAAAACGAATTACTATTTTAGCATACAACAACAACCAAGCAAAACACTATCCTGTTCGTAACAGTGGCATACTTTTTGCATTTTATTTATTGTACATATTAGACGTATGCTACTATAATTTTTATACGTAACAACTCCGCAATTTTAGTTTTATAGTAAGCAAACCTGAATTGCTACCGGAAAAGTTTCACTAATATTATTATGGCAGTCTCTAGTGTAAAGTTTTGTTACTTGTATCTAAGTATGTATGTGTATACATGCATTCCTACAGGAGAAATTAGTGTTCAAATCGATCTCAACTAAACGCAACGTTAATACAAAGACAATTGACCGTAGCGAAAGTACAACAAGACACAAATAATTGCAAAATCGCGATATAGATGTCTTTAGATACGCCAATTAATCGTACATTAATCCGTAACTATAATAGATCGGTGCGATTATTTTCAAAAACATAACGAATTATGTAACTAAATACTACATAAGTCCAAACTGTTGCTAGTTCAGTCACAATATACATTTAATCAAGGAAATAAACCTAGATATCCATAATTTTCTAAAAATGCGATAATAAGTCCTTAAACAGAAACATATATTCCAAAAATTTTCTGGATGAGGTACAACTGAATTATGTTATTCCATTCAAGATAGAAACAAGTACAGTAGAATCCGCTTATAATGACATCGAAGGGAAATAACAAACACATCATACTAAGCGAGCGTCATACAAAGCATAATGTTAGAAAATAAACAACTTTCTGTTTTGGTTAGATATTTAGTTTAATAGATAAAAAACTACAAATTGTGTGTATTTATTGATGAATTGTGATATGAATATGCATAAGAAGGGTCAGAAAAATGAGCGAAAATGTTATTATTAATCATTAGGGTCACTACAGCCGGATATGATTGCTTG